TGGCTTTATATAGAGAGGAATGTAGATATAACCTTGACGAAGGAATGCCGGAGCCATTAAGGGGGAAAGAACAACAACTTAGTCCTAGGAAAGTGGAAAGTGTGAGAAAGAAACTCAAAATAAACCTGCCTTGATTCTGTTTGGTATAAAATGGGGCAAAGAAATTCAGGCAGGCTTTCAGGTTTCTGCTGTTATACCCTACAACAATCACATAGCATTGCTGGATTTGTTTTGGTGTCTGCCTCTAACCTGGCCTACCTTGCAGGGGTGACCCAGAGGAGCAAATCCCCATGCAGCAAGGGCATTCGGTCTTCCCTTGTTTTGTAAGGGTTTTCAGGATACAGAATCTAATTTCTGCTTTAGATTTTAATTGTGCCAATTTTACTGTTAGGTTCTATATTCAGGCTTTTATGATTATTCGGCCACACCTAGTTTGCGTAGCAGAAAAGTGGGGTATAAATTCAGTAATAAGTAATGTAAATACAAATACAGTCTTCACGCAAGAACTCCTTGCCTTCGGTGAAGAAATAGAAGCTACTCTATGTAGAAACGCCTACTGTGTAATTTCCAGAGGTTGTTTGAAATTTACTCCATAATCCTTTTTTCCTCCTGTGGTTACTGGGGGAGGAGGAAATTCAGATTCTAGGAGTATGGAAAGTTTTTTCCTACATGTTTTCCTTTCCCCCTCACTGCAGACCTTCAGCATCTCCACACTTTCTCTTTTGCACATCCTGGAGGTGGGAGGAGTGTTGACTTCAGTTGATCCTGTTCTAACCGTTCGAGCCATGCTGTTTTGTCAACTCCAGCAACTATCAGTCTGGTTAATTTTGGCATGAATAAAAGCAGAACCAATCCTGATGCTTTTCTATTAAGTAAAATAAGACTAAGGGGCAGAAAGTAACCAAGTAATTCCTCTTTCTGTTTTGTAGAACAGGGAAATTACTGAGGATTTTTTTTTTTCATGAATGCAGTTTTGGGTGGATATTATCCGATATCTTTTTCAACAGTGAGTCAATGTGCATTCCACTCCATAAGAGCTGTTGAGGGTTGGGAGATACACAAGTTTATAATAGTAGTAGTAGTAGTTGTCATTGTTGCTGTTAATTATGCATTAGTCTGACACTTCAGAAAATGGAGCATTCAGTGGAAAACGGACAGGTACAGTCTATTTAGGAGGAAAATGTTTATGTGTTGGAAGGTATAAGTAACAGGGTCCTAGGTCAGTGATGCCCATGTTGTCCTCATCTCTCCATTCTAGTTATTCAGCTTTATTTTAATTAAGTTAAAGTTATGTGCATGGTAGACAACATGGTGCCCATGGAGACTCCCATAGCACCTGCCAGGCTCCCTGCTCCATCTTACTCCTTCAAAATTGAGAAATAGCAATCTGTCAAAGCAAAGCACCAGCCCCTACTTTCATATCTGCTGCTATTATTTCTGGACGCCACCCAGACCAAACAGACATTCTTAGAAAATATATACAGTGGGTGGTTTGATCAGGAAAGACAAAGGACAAAGATAAGCTGAAGTGAGAGAGAATGATCTGGAGAACTAGAAATGGTGGTGGGAAACTATCTCAGCAGCTTCTGCCAAATGAATGTTCTATGGCACGCCCGCCAGGGTTGTCATTTGAGGGACAGCAGGTCCTCCCCACCACCCATGGGAGCGATTAGAAAGGTTACCCATCCTCCAGCTATTGTGATTCCCATACTCTACAAAAATGGAGGATGGCCATCTCCATGTTCAGGCTTGCATGTGGGTTAGCTTTTGTTGGCTTGCCTAGGAATATAAATTGGAGATACTTTGCAATACTCTTTTCATAAAAGTCTTCAGTCCTATTTGCTTAAGGGGCATCTTAAAAACTCTCGTCCCTCCAAGTTTTAAGTTGCTCTGGAAATATGGAATTGGCTGTTTTTCAGCAAACTTCACTACAAGTTGTTACTATTATTTTAAAAAGTCTTTGGACCCGCTTTTGCTTTTGTTGCCAACTTTCATGGTAGAACGCCTGTAAACAAGCAGAAAAGTGAAGCCATCTAGTTTAAATCTGACAGAGGCAGACTTTGTCAACAGCTTGACCAAAGAGAACATGGCCGGCATCCATGGTGGTGGGTTTCAATTTCAAAATTGGGCAGAAGAAATTCCAAGCTTCAGATTCTTTCCCATGGCCTTGGCCCTACAGCCGCCCAGAATGTTCTTAGCAAGGTTTGTGGTTAGAGAGGAGTAGAGGCAAACTCAGCTGGTCTGAATAACAAGTAGAGGATCTATAGGGATTGTGGTTGGAAGAGACACCTATCTTGGCTCTCCAGATAGACTTAAATAGCTTATTTTACTAATACTTTACTTTTAACTAAAAATACAACGAAATTAAAAAGGCAAGACGACATGGGTTTATACATTCTGTTTCTAACATCTTCATGTGTAGTGATAGACAGAGAGACAGATTTTTGAAATCTTTCGGAAAAATATGAGAGAACAAGCAGCATGTGTGTTGGATTATTTTTAATGGCACATGATGGGTAGCATAAATAGCATTGCACATCTCTCTTACTCCTCCCACATTTGGAGTCCCTGAAGGAGAGATGAAAATTCAGAATTAGGAAAAAGTGCAGAATTATGAACTTCTATTATTTTTATTCTTGCTTTATCTCTACTATACTTGAAGCTGCTCTGCTGTTACCTTCAGGAGTTGTTTAACTTGTCTGTTGCTCAAGAAATAGAGCATGGCAAGGATGGAGCTGGATCGCTGGGAAGACCTTTCGATGAGCTTCTTTTCTACTGATGCATAATTGATGCTGTGTGCTTATTCGTGAGATTGCAGCAAGACATAAATGTTGAAAGAGGGAATGTGTAGAGTGCCCTGCCCCCTACAAAAGAAGTGTAGCTTTAGCCAATGATTGGTAATTCTTTTCAGGGGCCTGGCAGTTGATATTTTCCAAGGGAAGATCCTTAGCAAGGACATCAGCGGATATACAGTCATGTGAAAAAGAAAGTACACCCTCTTTGAGTTCTATGGTTTTACATATCAGGACATAATCAAAATCATCTGGTCCTTAGCAGTTCTCAAAAGTAGGCAGATACAACCTCAGATGAACAACAACACATGACATATTACACCAC